ATTTGCCGTCCTCAAAATTATGTAAAAGTACATACCCAATGAGAAAGGAGAAAAGCTGGAGTCAATCCGATAGGGATAATATCCAAACATCCAACATCCAACACTGAGAGCAAAGTTGAAAACCGACCCCTTTTAAGTCTGAAAAGTATTAAAGCCAAGCAGATCAGTTTCAAGGCACTATAATTTCTACTTCACTACCTCAGCGTTGCTTACTTACCAATCTTCTATAAGTGAAACGTCTTGACAGACAATGAAGTGGATCAGATATGTTCACCCATTTTTACCGGAAACAGGTTAGAAACTGTTGCTTGTCGGGTTGTCGTGCAGCAGCTGCTGCGCGGCACGGCACGGAGGGACTCGCGGGGGGTTGTGCACACCAGGGAGCGCCAGGTGTATGAGTGCTCCAAGCAGAAGCCCCCCCCCCTCCCCACACGTACACTGGTTTGGACATATATGGTGATTTTTTAAGTATCCACCCCAAAATTACCTGTGAAATTGGTACTGCAAGGTACTTGTAACTAAGAGAAGTATCTCCAGCAAAAGTAAACTAAGCTGAAAATTTTTGACTGCCAGTTCACAAACAGCAAAATAAAATACCACAATGAGTGGAGTGAGCAAACAACAATGTTGCGATAAACTGACTATTAATTCTGGTCCCAGAATGTTACTGTATCTTTAATTGACTAGTGTTTAAGTTATAATACTGTGAGAAGGCCATAGAAGAGGATTCGAAATAAATTTGTTTTACAACATTGTAACTTTGGTTCTTTCTTTAATTTTGTTGAAGTTGTTGACTAGAAGATAAAACTAAAAGGGGAAAATGAAATTCCTTATGTTTCACACTGTTCAAAACAAAGGTTAGCTATCTAGTTAGATATCTAGGAGTATAAAAAAAGTAGTATAAAATTCATTATAGAAAATAAAAAAAGCACATGATAATGTCAGATTGTGAAGTAGAACAGAGGCTGGACTTATAAAAATAAACAATAAAAGGAAGTCAACAAAAAGATATCACATGTAAAAAGAAAGTAACCAGTTCTTAAGACCATGTCTCACAGGAGAGAGAGCAGAGAAAAAATGGGAGGTCATCCTGTTTAAGTGCCGCTTGACTGACTTGTAAGTTGCTGCATAAGTTCAAATTCAGAGCTGTTTACTTTATCTTTGCGAGCACCAACATGTTCAAATATTTTGTAGAAGCATGTCTGCAGAAAGTGAAACGTATTACGCCAGCCAAAAGGGTAATCAACAGCGAAAACAAAGTAGCTTTGGAAAAGCCAGTCAATACATTTGACTGAGTTCACAACTTGCAACTGAATTTTCTGGGAATCGAGCACAAGGAATGACCGGACGATTCTATCTCTTTCAACTTGAGCTCTGACAAAAATAAGATAGGGCTGAATAGGACCAGATGCCTTTTCAATCCTGTCTTCTATGTAATCATCAATACTATCAGAAACCTGAAATATTAAAAACATTTAAGATAGAGAAAAGATAAAATATAAAAAAAAAAGTATTTTCACCCAAGTGTTTGCAAAATTACCTTTCTGACAACAACAACATCTTTCAGCTCTCCCCATGATTGAAGAGTTTTCTCCTTTCTTCTAGGAATGTCATGGGGAAGGTGCTGCGACAAAAGAACTAGAGCCTTGATCGCATCTGAAACAGCAACACAGAGAAACATATTCATTAGTAACTTGCTTACCTCTGATAAAATTATAAGAGTATCTATGTAAGTACCATCTTTAATTGGAAGGTTAACTTCTCTTCGAAATGGCAGGGCCAAAATCTTTGGTAACAATTTGTAAAACGTTTTGCACATATCTGCAGCCTCTGGCCTGAGTCTCTTAAATTCTTCACTCAACTATTTATTGAGAATGATGAGAAAGGATAAGAATCACAAAAGGAAAAATTTAAGAAACCAATTTAACATACAACTTAGATACTTACAACTTCTCCCTCATACTTGTTGAACTGAGGGTATTTTAACATGAAAAATGTGATGCTTTCTCTTCTTAGTCTCTCAGCATTTCTCACTTCAAAACATTTGGCCATGCCATCAAGAATTTCTGACTTCTCTGACTTTCCTGGATTGATGAGGCCCAAAATTCTAATCTGGAACATTTACAATGAAGAAAAATAAAGAAACTATAAATTTGAGGCAGTTTTTAACTTAAGAGTCACATTCTGAGAAAATGAATCAATCAATGACTTACATCATCATCATCCCATTCACAGTCCTTTTCTGTTGTCTTCCTCTTCTTAGCCCTTGTTGGCCTCTGCGGGTTCTCTCTCATAAAAGATCTGGAAGCATTGGCTATGTACCCTGACGGTCCAAGAGGGGAAAACACGGGGCTCTAAAAAAAGGGAAAAGAGAAGAAAATAACAACAACAAAACAGAAAGAATCTTAGATAGATGTCTGCTTTAAGGCAGGGTAGGAAAGAATGTTTGTCCACACTTCCAGTCTCTACCAAAAGGAAAAGAAAGAGGGAAACATTTTCAGAAGCAAAAGGTGTCTGATCCAGGGAGACCCAAAAGTGGTGCACTGCTGAGCACAATGAAAATCTAGCCACAGCATCTTACTCAATTGTTACAATGGGAACATACCCAAGGACGTTCCTTGTCATCTGTGTTGGCAAACTTAGGAAATACCACACAAAAGGATTTTGCCATCCCTTCCTTCATTGCAGATGTCACTGCCGAAGCTGAGCTGAGAAATAAAGATGTGGATTTAATACAGAAAAGGGCAAGTGAAAGACCAAATCAATTTTGAATAAATATAGAAATACTTACGTGACATGTGATTTATATAGGTGCCCAGTGAGTTTCCGAATAATACAAAGTCTCTTGGTGCGGTCTAAATGTTTCTTTTGTAGTAGCTCCACAAAGTTGGCTTTAAAGCGGCTGTGAGCCTTTTTCATTTCCTCTTGCAAAATGCTAACCACATCAAACTGAAAGTAGATGTCAACAAACATTATCAATCTGTAAAACTTTAGCTAAAAATTGAATAATTTAATATCTTACCTTAGGAAGGCTCTCTTTTAAAGAACTAAAAGAGGGTTCTGCATCAGGCTTGAATTCTCTCACTGCACGCTCAACATCCTTCTCAGTCACAGGTTCGCTTCCACTTCCATTCTCCTTATCACTGTCTGAGTCATTATCCGAAAAAATATTATCACCAGCAGTCGAAGTTCTTTTATTAGAGGAAGATCCTGCTATGTTTGCACCACCATCAGAGTGGCTGGAAGATTTTTCTTTTCTCTTGGATTGTGGTGTACTTGGACCTGCCTGCAAAATAAAACAGTACTGAGTAGAAACAAGCCCTATGTATTAAATTAAAACATGTTCTAATATAACTCGTAACTTGAGACAAAATGATGAGTTAGGAAATTACTTACATGACTTTTGTTCTTTCTGAAACAGTTTGCAACACTACCATCTGTCTCCTTAGTGGACTGTGACTGTGAGTTACTTGAAACTTTCTGCAAAGTAAAACAGTACAAGAGTAGAAACAGGCCCTATGTTTTAAAAAACCTTTATCAAGTAACATAACTCGAGACAAAATGATGAAAAAGGAAATTGCTTACACGAAGTTTGTTCTTTTTCGGACATGAGGTTAAACCTTGTGAGGATTGTGAAAGCCCGGAACTTGCAGACAGTGATGGAGATTCATTCAACTGCTGTGAGTTCGATGATGTTATACTTGGGCTACGATCAGTTGACTGCAAAAAAGTAAAACAAAATAAGATACGTAAGTTTAAAACCTTCAAGTTTCACTTGCACAGTTGAGACAAACCGCTAATAGACGATACAACGTACATTTTTTTCATCATCTTCTTGGGAAGAATCTGTGGTTTCATTAGGTATGGCTGATGTGGCACTAGGTGGCACTTCTGGAGCAAGACCATCTTCACTTGATAAATCACTTGATAATACAACCTGCAAAAAGAATAGAAAATATTACGAGTCCTGAAGCCAGATAACTGAATTGAAGTAAGATAGACTTGCATAGTTGTCCTCACCACTTTTTGGGACTAAAAAGTTTTGATTTCAAGGATTTCTTTTCCTGTGGCTCCAAGAACGTTCCTCATGAAGCTCACATCCATTAGGGTAAAAAGTTCTTTATCTATCCCATGTTCTGTCAGGGCAAACAAAACTCATAAGTAATACAGCATTCTGGTGAAGCTGAAATGCAGAAGAATGCGGGGAACAACAAAAATGGAAATCACTATGCTTTAACATGGTTACTTCCAGTTACTTGTTCCCCACATTCTTCTGCATTTCAGCTTTACCGGAATGGTTTACTAGGCACAAAAACCCGGTCAATAAAGAGCAGGCTCAGGTTCATTCATTTCAAAGAGAGACATAAAATGATGGTACGGTTAGTTCTCTGAGAGGAGCCGCAATAACTTGGGGAACTAACATTCAAAGTGGGTCAGTAATTAATAAACATTATTTTGTCCGCACACACTGTAATTTGCTGTAACTACGCTGATTTGAGGGAGGTTTCAAAGCTAAATAACTAGAAATTGGAAATGAAACTCGAATGTTTGGCGAGAAAATCAAAGAATTCAAAATATGAACGGGACAGTTCTCCGATTTCATTTTCCCAGACTCATTATTCTGGCAAAAACATCGGGACGCCTCAAAATTTTTAAACTTTCTGCCGAGAAAACTACGCGAGGAAGCAAACAATGGTAAAATTTGAGATAGGCGGCGCGGGCAGGTCGGGCGGGGAGAGGAGTGGAGTCGAACTGAAAATTGATGTAAAGCCTACACACGACACAACGCGAAGGATTCACTTACTATTTATCTTCTCCACCAAGCTGGGAGTCATGCCAGCAGCTTTTAACAGCGACACAAGATCTTGGTCTCCCGCCATGGCCGTACAGCTCCGTTGAACACCAACGTCCTCACCTCACCAAGTCCTCTCACTAACAGTGGATGGCGGTTGCGGTCGTTCAACGGCTCGCGGTGCAACGGAAATATTCCAATGCTGCCAACACAAGAGACTCATATTAAAATGGAGTATCAGTTAGCTTCAGATAGAGAGAGAGGATTTGGGCATTCAAGTAACATTGGAAACGTTTTGGAATCAAAACCTCACGGTCGAATTAAAATTATACTGTAATTTAAAAAAGAAACACCAATGGCACTTTCCCCAAAGACGAGAATAGTGACATTCGTGTTACAGGCTGGCAGCACCAACAGTGGATATGCAGGGAATGACCACACCACTGTAGTTTTAAAAATATTATCATTATAATTTTCAAAAATAATTATCTTATTTTAAGTCAGATAACAAATAGCCTGAAAATTGATAATGAAGAAAGAGGAAACATGAAAACTTAACTGGCATCGGCACATAACAGAAGGGAACAGGGGAGATGGAAATCACAAAATTAATTTTGTGCTACAAATGAAACTTGTCCCAACACAGATCATGGCAGTGTTGCTTTAATCTTTTACCTCAGTATATTTTGGTTGTTAGAGAACGAGTATTGTTTTGAGTGTAGTGTCGTTGTTTGAGGGTTGGGGGGAATGTGAACGTCAAGGTTTTGAGGGAGGTCTGGTCCGTCCCGGTCCGG